TTCTTGCTGAATAAACACATTTTCAAAGAAGACAGTCTTCGCTGGCAATACACGGCAAATGTAACAGCATCTTGTCAGGGTGTTTGTTAGAAATAAATGCAACTCCTCATGCTGTCAGGCAAGAAAGTTACAGTGCTCTTGTCCCCTTGGAAGCTCGAAATATCTGCTAAGAAAAATCAGTTGTTCCTGCCAGTACCAAAGGGGTAGTATTCAGGGAATTCATGAATAATTTTTAGTGCTTCATTGTAGAGTTCCAGATCTGAAACAGGGCAAAGACAACGGTGGTGATGCAGAAGCTAAATTCCCCACAAGCAGCGTTAAAGCCCTGCCTCTTTCAAAGCAGCGTAACCGAGTGCTCCCAGCCCCCTCATCCTCCCCGGTCTTCCCAAGACAGCCACACTGCCAGTGCTTGCTTTCTGGAGGGTGATTTTTAGGGCTGCTACGGGCACAGTCACCCCAAGGCCAGTGCAAGGCAAGAACCATGTGGTCAGGAGAATGATCAGACCGTGGCAGTGACCTGGGCTGGCTCCAGCTTTGGGCTGGTCCCCACACTTTGACAGTCAAACCGTGTATTTTGCACAGATGTTTGCCTGTGACACTCTCCTTTTCTACGTTCTACTCCAGAGCTGGCAGCACGAGCCTTGTCCATGTGAGAAGATAAGCAGGCTCTCCCTTCGTATTTACCGACAGAGAGTTCAGAACACAAAATGAATTTGTCATAACGTATATTCTTACTTACCAAACGGACTTTTGTCTTCTCTGAACTGGACGTATGACATGCACGTGATGGTTGCCTTATTTGTTACTCTTCCTACTACTTCAATAACTCCCGAGATCTCTTCATCTAGCTAGAAAAAAATACCAAACGTGGAATTAGTATCACTAAATTAGCAGCTGTCTCTACTGCCCAGCCTGAAGCCAGGAACTCCCCACAACTGACAACGGATTCTTGTTCAGTCCTACTGAACATCCCTATCCTCTCCCCACCCCAAAACCACAAGAGCCCTGAGCCACTCCAACTTGGAGATTTTAGAACAGCCAATTCAGTACTGACACACACAAAAAAATAATAATGAAGAAGCATCAGACAGAAGATACCAGTTTATAAGTGTACAAAACTGTGTCAGCACTGAGCAGAGACTAATCTAAGACACAGAGAGCAGAAGAATGCAGATTTTAATGCACTGCACTCAAACCTGAGTAAATTTTAGAACTCTTACAGAGCTAAGGAGGTGTCCTGCATGCCAGACAGCAGTTCCAGTATTCCAGATTGA